CGCTCTTCCTCAATGTCATGAAAAAGCCGTGAAGTCAGTGTCAGGCAGTGTCAATTCGACACCCATCTATGGTATGAGTGAAAAAATCGAGTCTAACTAATTATGATGATCTTCTCCGATAGATGTCCCACGAACAAGTGAACTAGAGTGTAATTTCGAGAGGAGTGAATACAACCACTTTAACATGTGGGCTCGATTGGATCACTTCTACAAATGAGTGATTCAATAAAATAAGTAGAAAAAATTTCACATTGCTATATTTGTCCATACAAAATTATTTTTCAAATCTTAAAAGATTTATCTTAATTCTTTAGTATTTATATTTCATCTTAAGCATAAAAATATATTTTTTTTTAAATTAAAATAATAATATTTTTCACTAGACATAAAAAAAGACCCCTTCAAAAATATTAAAATTCATCTCAAAATATTCCCATGAAATGTTTTTCCAATAACAAATTTATAAAGAAAATGACACCCGACAAAAAAATATATTTTTCTTTCGCACACCACAAACGTGTCCTCTCTCTCATTATTTTAATTTATTTTGTTTTATCACAAAATCCCACCTTTATCCAATCAGCTCCAGCCCGCTCCAATCAATATTGATTTTGTTCAACTAAAATCACCATAAAACCTTCTGTTTCCTTCACAATCACCATCTCCTCCCTGTTCAAAATCAAATCAAACCCATGGGCAACTGCCACTCCTGCTTCAATCTCCTCTGCACAGAATCAAACCAGTCGCTCCCCATCGACACCCCATTCATCATCTCCTCTTCTCCACCTTCTTCCCTGTCAGGTGATTCAACATCTTAATCACAACCACATTTTGTCTCCCAACCCTCATCTTAAAACTCGCAGCTTTCGATTTACTTGCAGGCGGAGGATTCGGCAAAGGAAGCATAGATCTCGGCGGCCTCGAGGTGCGACAAGTCTCCACCTTTACTAAGCTTTGGTCCGCCGCAGGTAACGGCGGCGCCACCTTCTTCTTCCCTTCTTTCATCCCCTCCGGCTTCTATCCCCTCGGAGCCTACGCACAGCCTAATAAAAATCGCTTCTTTGGCCGCCTGCTCGTCGCCAGAGATAACATAGCCGGAGATGGCGGCGGCACCGTCGCTCTCGCCGCCCCAACGGACTTCACTTTGATATGGTCTAGCAGCGACGGCGGTTACTTCTGGCTCCCCGTCCCCCCTTCCGGCTACCAACCTGTTGGCTACCTCGTCACCACTTCGCCCGAGAAACCCTCCCCGGAATCTCTCCGCTGCGTCAGGGAAGACTTCACCGACCAATGCGAGGAGGGCCGTGTGAAAATCTGGTCATCTGGCTGCAATGGCGGCATCAGTATCCACGAGCTGGTCCCCATTGCCGGCGGGCGGGAGGCACCGGGGCTGCCGCCGGGCACTTTCATCGCCCCCCAGTGGCCGGGGGGGGGGGGCCCCGGGGCCTCCCGCCGGGAACTTTCATCGCCCGCACGGCCGCCGGCGAGAATCCGCACAGTGTTCGCTGCCTGAAAAATAAAAAATTTAGCCTCTCCGCCGCCATGCCGGACCTTTCTCAGATCAATGCCGTTATCAAAGCTTATGCTCCGGTGATCTACTTCCACCCCGACGAAACCTACCTCCCGTCATCGGTGAACTGGTTGTTCGAAAACGGTGCTCTGCTTCACTCCAAATCCGATCCGACCAACCCAGCCCGACTTAAATCCGGCGGCGCGAACCTCCCGCAAGGTGGGACTAACGACGGCGCTTACTGGATCGACCTCCCCGCCGGCGAGGAGAAGGAGAGGGTGAAAAGGGGGGAGCTTTCCACAGCGACGGCTTACGTTCACGTGAAGAAGATGCTCGGCGGCACGGCGACGGACTTCGTGTTCTGGCTCTTTTACCCCTTCAACGGTCCGGCGAGATTAAAGATCGGAGCTTTAACCACGGGACTAGGTAAGATAGGCGAGCATGTCGGCGATTGGGAGCACCTGACGCTGAGGGTGAGCAATTTCGACGGGGAGCTGAGAAAGGTTTACTTCTCTGAGCACAGCAGGGGAGAATGGTTTGACTCGCCGGAGGTGGAGTTCGACGGAGAAGGAAGGAACAAACCGGTGGCTTATGCGTCGTTGAATGGCCACTCTTTTTATGCGAAAGAGGGACTGGTTTTGCAGGGGAGTGAGGAGGTGGGGATAGGGATAAGAAATGATACGAAGAAGGGGAAGAAGATGGATGCGGGGGAGAGGTTTGAGGTAGTGGCGGCGGAGGACTTGCCGGCGGTGGAGGACGTGGTGGTGGGGCCGGGATGGGTGGAGTACATGAGGGAGTGGGGTCCGAAGGTGAGTTATAATGTGGGGGAGGAGGTGGAGAAGCTGGAGGGTTTGCTGCCGGAGAAGTGGAGGAAGGTGGCGAGGAAGGTGGTGGAGGCGTTACCGCCGGAGCTGCTCGGAGAAGAAGGTCCCACTGGACCAAAGGTCAAGGCAAGTTGGTGCCAAAAACGGAGAAAATTGTAACATCATATTTAATATGCACAATGATGCAGTTTAAAAAAATTTCTGCGGTGAAGTATTGTATTTGATTTTAATTATTTTGGGAGTTGATGTCATCTCACACACAATATCGTTTGTACAATA